CCCTAATCAAGCCCCCGCCCCAGCGCCTCCGGAGAGTCGATCGAAAGATTCGTTAGTGTTGAACTTAACCTAAGGGGAGTCGGGTCTCAGCCAAACAATAGCTCTGGCCGTGGGTGCTGGACAAGCGGCAGCGGCACGAAGCGGTAAGGCGGCGTACATGTCTCGTCTCTAGGTATGAGTCTGCAAAGCAATGTGTGAACACATAAAAGTAATATCCCTATGTTTCGCATTATTTCTCTCTGTCCAGATGAACCACAAGATCATACAAGGAATAGGGAAATACACATATCTAAAGTGTGTGCATTATGAAAAAAACTCAGGAACAAAAAAAAAAAATTTGCAGGAAATGTAAGTGGTCTCTTTCCATTTTATGATTGTCTAACAACTAAGATGTTTAATACAAGACATACCATTTTTGTATGATGATATATTTTTATTTTTATTTTTGCGAATATTCAATAGCACCATTTTACAACAAAATGTATTCCTATTATTATTATTATTATTATTATTATTATTATTATTATTATTATTATTATTATTATTATTATTATTATTTTTATTTTCTTCTTGCAACTCACTAAATTATAGATGCAAATGTTTGTACACTGACAAGCTATTGAAAAAGCCACATGGCTAGCAGTGCTAGACAGCCATGGGCAAATAACTTCTTGTTGATTTAAGATTTAAACAACACTGTTGAACACACAATCGATGGATCACCATATCCTCCAAAAACATAACTTAGAGCCCATCCAAATCGAAAAATAACCCTGAGACAAATTTAACATGTGTTCTGTGAAAAGTGAAACTTGAATGCATACACAAAAGGATCACACGTTAAATTAAGCGGTATTGCTGCTGAATTTAAAGGATGCCAAGAAAGCAACCCGCTCCTAGAACAGAGGTTCATTACCCATAATTTGTAAATCCGAGCCCCACATACAAGATCACCCACGCAAGGATATCGTGCAACATATTATAAACAAACACACACATGAGCGAGAAGAGAATCTCGAGAGTTGAGCCTAGCTGCCACTAAAAGAGGAGCACTCGATTAACTGAACACAATCACTAGAATCACTGGAAGCAGAATCATCAGGTTTACTTTCGGCTGGAGGAAAAGCATCGAGACTCTTGCAGAAGGATTCTATGTCTTCAACATTGAACCAGTCTTTCTTCATCTGCAGAACAATAAGGAATACAAATACAAATAGGCAAAACACCCATGTCAGATAACATCTAGAGAGCATGTCAGTTTTTCTTTGCATTTTTTTGGTTTTTTTGGTTCTCCTTGAGATTTTTCAACCGAGTTTTTTTTTTTTTTTTTTTTTT